ACGTCTTTGAGAAGACAGAGGACAAGGATGCTGGCTGCTCCAGTGAGACAGGACTGCTCCCAGGCTCCATTTTTGCCAAGTCAGGTGCCAACTCTGTCCTGGACATGGCAAACAAAATCCGGGAGGATCCACTTTTCATGATCAGGTACTTAACGTGGAGCTGAATGCTGGAATAAATCAGAATAAATCAGGCAATGCAGCAGTGATGGCAGCTTGATGAGAGCTGTTTTAGTTGTGGGAAGTGTGCATGCAAATGCAAAGGTTGTTTTTCTTTGTTTATATATACATATATATAGATATATAGGCTCGTATATACAAACTTAGGTCACCCTTTTGTATGTGTGAGAATGCATCTGGTTGGCAGCATTGGAGCAAAATAGATGTTAACAGAATGAAAATTTGGCTTAACTTCCTCATTGCACTCTTCAGTGGGGGGGAAAAGGACAGAGTTTGCAGGAGTTGGACTAACGTTGCTGAATGAACAAAAGTTGGCTGTTAGAGCTTGTTTTAGTGTTGTATCTTTCATGAAAATGATGTTTAGAGTTGCTTGGGAATACTAATACTCTTCTTCCATCTGCTTTAGAAAGAGAGAGGAGGAGAAGAAGAGAGAGGTTCTGAATAATCCTGTAAAAATGAAGAAGATCAAGGAGTTGGTGGGTGACTCCATCGCGCTCTGTGGGTCTGTGCTGGGCCTTGCTGGGCTTTCTTTTGTCCCAGGAGAACTCCATTGCTTTGCCTTTTGATACTGACTGCCCAAGCGCAGGGACAGTAATTACTGCTAATCAATTGGTGTCTTTCTTTGTAGCTGCAAAACAGTTTGGATAAAAAGGAGAAAAAGAAGAAGAAAGAGAAGAAGAAGAAGCACAAGAAGCACCGGCGTCGCAGCTCCAGCAGTGAAAGTGCCAGCAGTGATGAGGAGCGAAGCAAAGCCAGGTAGGTTTTATTGTCTTTATTGTCTCGTTTGTTTTTCATCTGTTTCTGATCTTCTTTGAATCTCATCTTTCTAATTAATGCTCTTAATTTGCCTAAATATTACTGTATTGGTACTTTTGTTTTTTGCATTGGTGATTGATTTTTGCTGTTTTAGTAAGCAAAGCATAGGATCGCTGAAGTTCATCTGCTTCAAAACTGTTCTCTTTTTTGTTTAGGTCTCAGAAGAAATCTAGCAGCTCCTCCTGGAAACCCATTCCTTCTAAAGTGCCAGGATATGGCTTACAGGTAAGTCTGGCTGTTTTGCATGTCTCTTTCAGTAGCAGACTTGTTGGTTAGGGAACAGCAAAAGATCAGCTTGTTGCAAGAGGCTGCTTCTCCCATTAGAAGAGGGCTGTGAGGGATACATGATTTAACATGATTTAACAATGCTCACATTCACCTTGGTGCCTCTGAGCCCTGACCTGAAACTCTTCAGGTCCTGGTAGGATTTCTGTCCTCTCTGAGTTCAGTTCAGTTTTAATTCCCTTCCCAGAGCCACACACCTGTTTCAGTGTTGCATGTGATTGCCATAGCAGTTGCTTTACTGAGCACCACCAAAATGATCTTTTTAGACAGAGGTGTTCATAGGAACCTGGGAATTGAGACAAGTGAGTGCAGAGCAAAATGTTCACTGCCTGCAGCCCAACCTGAGGCTTCTGCAGCCTCGCTGTGTTGTGATGCTCTCACAGGACGTCTCTCCTGAGGGGCACTTTTGGATTTCAGGTTAGAGACTCTGACAGGAACCACAGATCTCGGAGTTCTCCAGCTGCTGGGCAGGGCAGAGCCTCCCACAGGCACCGCGAGCGCTCCAGGTCCAGGAGCACATCCCACTCCCCACAGAGATGCACGAACAAGAAGAGCTCAGAGCAATCTGGATGCAGGGGGTCGAGATCTCCTTCCAGACACAGTAAACAGTGAGTGTGGCTCAGCTGGGTAATACGAACTGCAAGGTGCAGGGGGGAGGAGATGTTCAGATCAAAATCCCTGCTAAAAAATCCAGGTAAAGCTTAGGGATGTGATAATATGTGTGTATCTCCTAAAAATAAGGGTGGTTCTGGGTTGCAGACATAGCAGTCGAGAGGAGAAAGGGAAAGCTGGAAGTCCTTCCCCCAAAAAGAGCTATCGGCGACAGCACCTTCCAGGTTACACCAGGTGAGCAAAATCTCTGCATGTTTTTGTGAAGCAGCTGCTGTCATCTGTGCACCAAATCTTGCTCTGTTGTCTGGAACTGACTGTCAGGCATCCAGAAGGGCAGTGCACTGTTCTGAAGTGCTTGGTTTGATCCCAGCTCTTGAGCTCAGTTGTCAGCTAACAGCCTCCCAAACCTCGTGGAATGGTTGTGATTCTGTGTGCCTCATGGTGGGGTGAAATCAGGCTTTGTCTCCTGGGTTAATTAAAAGCCTGCTGTTTAACTGCCGGCAGGAAACTTTGGTCTCGACAGTATCATCAATTGAAAAAGAAAAGCTGAAAAGGGGAAACCAAGCTCTTGCTGGAGTTGTTTGGTTGTTTAGACTTGTACTAAAAAACTTTGGGTGCTGAAGGAAAAGCAATTATTAAACAGCCCCAATTTTGGGGATAAATAGTCTTCAGGATTGGAAAGGAGGAGCTGGGTTGGGTGTAGCACGCTGCTGGTTTACAGCAGTGCTGTTTTCTGTACCTACAGAAAGATCTCCCCAGAGGAACTGGAGCGAAAACGGCAGGAAATGATGGAAAACGCCAAGTGGAGGGAAGAGGAGAGGGTGAACAACCTCAAGAAGCACCGAAAGGAGGAGGAACTGGAGAGAGAACTGGAGAAACTCGACTCTGGGGATGGAAAGTTCTTGCAGTGAGTGCCTTGGTGGTGTTCATTTTTTCACTGGTGGGAAGTGCAGGGCGCAGCTTCTCAGGAGTGTGTGATGGCATCGAGGTTTGAGATGAGAATACCGAGCACCCACCTGAAATACAGCATTGGATCTGTTAGAAGCCAAACTAAAGGCTGGTCGGTTCTTTGGGTGCAGGCTTTGATGTGGAATCATTTGCTGCTTTCCAGTTTAGAATCCCGTAGTTAATTGACTCGGGGATAACAAACCCTGCTGGAAACCATGTGATGTTTGGGAAGAGATTGATTTCTTTCCTTTTGTTGTTTTTCCTGCAGTCACTTTAAGCTGGAAAGTGCTTCTACTTCCACTTTAGAAGATCGGGTGAAGCGGAACATCCACTCCCTTCAGAGAACTCCTGCTGCCTTGGAAAAGAACTTTATGCAGAGATGAAGCTTGTTCTTCCTCTGCTTCTGTGCAGGAGTAAATTGGACCCTTGTTCCCCAAGGTGAGAGGCCTCCAGCACACGCTCAGTTCTCTCTCCAGGAACCATCTCCCAAAGAGCTGCTGAATTTCTGTGCTGCAGCCCACAGCGTGGTCTGAACTTCTGGCACTGTCAATGTGTTTGTGATGAGGATGATCCCTCAGGCAGACCTCAGCTGGAGAGCTCGTGAGCCCTTGTATCCTGCAGCACGTTGCCAGATCTCTTCCTGTTCTCCACCCTGATTCGTACCGGTTTTGTATATTGTTGTTATTAGATGATGCTGGGTGATAATTGCTTCCTACACTGGGCAGGTTATCTGCACTCTTTATTTGTAAGAGCAAAAGACCTATTTTTGTTAGTCCTTAAAAATCAGAGCAGGACAAATTCACGTGAGGTGAGTGGATGTGATAAAGCTCTGTGATGGACTGATGCCATTCTGCTTGACTGCCATCGTTCTGCTGTGGGTTTGGAGGGAGAGGTCAGACCAGGCTGTAAAATATCTTCTGTAGCCATTAATTGATTCCACTCACCTATTTCAATGATGTTTGGCCTGAGGGGAGCAGCTTCACAGGGAAAGGAAATGAGCAGAGCAGAACTGATGCAGCAAATATCTCTCTGGGATTTTGTAATGTAAGTAATGTGTATATGTACAGCAGTGAAGATTGTTTTGCTTTTTTTTTTAAAAAAAAAAAAAGGAGAAACTTTACGATTTTCAAATGTTTTTTGGTGGCTTTGTGGGGGCGAAGGTGTCGGATTCGCTGCCACAGCGGCTGGCAGACCGAGGGCTGCGTGCGGCCGCCGGCTCTGTGCGCGGAGCTGCGCGCTGCGGGCCCTTTAAGAGGCGGCAGTGACGTGCTCAGCGGCCCATTCATAATTCCAGGCGCCTCGTCGTTTATTGGCTCGCTCGGAAAGGGGTGTGGCCCGGGTTGCTACGTCACTCGGGGTGGGCGAAACCATCTCCGCACAGAGGGGGAGGGAGGTGCCTTTGTTTCCGCTTTCCCTCCCGTTCCGCCCGCCGCTCCAGCCGGTCCCCCTCGCAGCCTTGGCCGCGTTCCGTTTTTTCCCTCCCCTCCGCGCGCTGTGGCTGAGCGAACCGACGCTCGGCGCCGCGCTGCCCTGCCTGCATCCCCCGGCTCTCCCCCGTGGGGCGCGGCCGTGGTACCTCCCCGTCCCCTCCTCCTCCGCCTTCCGCCATCTTGGCGCCTCCTTAGAGCGGCGCCTGAGCGCTCGGCCGGCGGTGGAGCGAACCACCGCAGGGGCGGGGAAAGGGGGGGGAGGGAGGCGGGGACGGAACAACCGCCGCGGGGAGAGCGAGCTGGGAGCGGAGCGGCCGAGCCGGCCCCAGGGGTGACAGAGGCGGCCGGAACCGCTGAGAGCGGAGGGGCGTGCGCCGGGCCGGGCGGTGCCATGCGGAGGCGCTGGTAGGGGAGCGCCGGGGGAGGGGGGCTTTGCGGGGCCGTTCGGAGGCAGCCATGGCCTCGAATTGCGCGGGGGGATCGGCGGCGGGGAGCGGCGGAGCGGCTCTGGGTTCGGCACTCAGCGCCAGCAAAACCAAGACCAAGAAGAAACACTTCGTGTGCCAGAAGGTGAAGCTGTTCCGGGCTTCGGAGCCGCTGCTCAGCGTCCTCATGTGGGGGGCCAACCATACGGTGAGCAGCGGGCGGAACCCCCACCTCACCCCCCCTTTCTCTCCCGTCGGCGCGGAGCCTTCACCCCAGCGCCCTGCCTGCCGCAGGGGCTCGGAGGTGAATCCTCCTCGGCCCCGCTGCCCCTTTCTACCCCCGTCCCATTGCAGCCTTTCCCCCAAGCGCTGCCCTCCGGCACTCCTCTCCCCCGTTTCCCCGATGCCATTTGGGATGACGGCCCTTCCCGGAGGATGCTGTCTGTGGTCCAGGCGTGCATAGCTGGGAGCAGCCCCCCGGGGCACCCCTTATCACCAATCCCTGGTCTTCAATCCTAGGGCCGGATCTTAGTGAGGGGTCTGGGGGTGGGCCCTGGGGGGGGGCTCCATCCTGTATCATTGGGCCAATTTGCCCGGCCTTGAGTCGCTTTGACTCCCATCTTTCTGCTGGCCGTGCCACATCTGTGTGTTCCTGAGCTGGTCTGTTTCCCCCCAAAGCCCCAGGATGGAGCGAGGAGCTGCTCTGTGGGAACGGCTCAGCACTGCAGCCCACCTCCATTGGAGCTTCCTAAAATCACCCTTCTCTCTTCCTCTGGAAACCTTTCTTTCCTCCATAGCGTAGGCTGGAAGGGCTGCCCTTCCTCTGCGCTCTCTTGGATGTGGGTAATGATGATGTTCAGGTGGTTAAAATTAAGCAACCTCATCCCTTCCTCAATTAACACACCTTCAGGCTCAAAGGCACTCGTTTCTTGGCGGATGTTTCCTGGATCCCTTTCCTTCTCTGGGTTTAGCTTTTGCAGGAATAAACAACGCTTTGGGAAAACTAGGATTGTATTCCTGGCTTTCCTGATGGCGGAGTGAATCTTTCCTGTGTAGTTCAGCACTGTTGTTTCTCTGAGCCAAGGGATTTTCCCAATTCTTGCTGCTCCTCGTCCAAGAAGCCGGGCAATGAGTTGAACCAGGCTCTGATCAGCGATGCCCTTAGGAGCCCTGAAGAAGCAGTGAAGCTGGTAGGGCTTTTCTCTTTCGTTTGTGGCCTCTTAGGGCTGCTGGCTGCCGGCTCGCCCTCTTCTGTGGCTGGTGGGGCAGCCTCAAGTCTTTTTTAGGCTCTGGATCAGGGCCTGCAACTTCAGGACTGTTTGGCTGTGAAATATTTCTGCAAGCTGATAGTTCTCCTTGGTAGCTGTGTCCATGCAGATGGTATCGGGTGCACGTTGTGAAGGAGCTGCTGCCAGAAACGAGGACCGTATCCTGGAGGAGCTGGAAAAGGGTGGAGAACATCTCAGCTGTGACCTCCTCCCCCCCGGTGCAGGCAGCAGGGATTCCCCAGCTCCCATTCCTGCAGCTCGGTTTGCAGTGGTGAGCAGCCGAGGGTTGGAGCAGGGCAGGCTGTGAGCCAAACTATTTGTGTTTGCTCAACACACGAGCAGCTGTTCATCCCGATCTGCTCCCAAGAGATGCTGCTGGTGCCCTGCTCCTATGGAAGGTGGGATTGCTTTTTGTTCTTCAAGCAAACTGCTCCGGGCAGCTGATGGGTGTTTTCAGGAGTGCCTTTGAACCTTGTCAGGAATCCGCTGGGGTTGTTTCACGTTTGGTTTCTGGTGCACAGCCTTCCAAAGAGAAGCAGACGCCGAGGCCATGGGGAGCGCGCTGCTAACAGCACGATTCCATCAGAAATGCTGGTGGCTGAGATGAACTTTTTCGTGGATAAATCAAACAAACAACCATTTTATGCAATCCACCATCTCTGCTGACTGAAGAAATTCCCCCGGGTCCATTAACAGAGTCTGGCAGCAGCACAGCCCTGCCTTGTGTTTAAACAAGCTTGCTAGCAGCTGGTGCGAGTACAGGCAGCGATGTTCTGGAGAGGATCAGAGCAGTGATGTTAGTGCAGAGCACAGGAACTGCTGTTGGAACACCCATTCGGAGCGTTTCTGTGTGAATTGTGAGTTGGCTCTCTGCTGTCCCAGCGCTCCAGAGCCAATGCTTGAGCTCAGAGCATCACAAGGGTGCGGCTACGGCCGCTGAAACGCGGCGGGACGTGGGTGGTATCACAGCCAAACCTGGAGCCGGAAAGCCGTGCTTGGGGGAGAGGAGCTGGGAGAACTCGTGCAGATGGGATGGAGCGGAATCACAAGGGCTCACCTTTGGTTTGCGATGTTTTCTTTGAGCTCCGAGCCCGCGATGTGGAACTGGGCGAGCTGGAGACGGCTCCTGGGGAAGCCTTGCCTTGTCTGCTGTTGTCATGGTGCTGGGAGAGGCGGCGCAGCTCCGCGTGGAGCTCTGGTGGCAGAGGGAAGGTCGGGTGGTGCTGGGAGGGAGCAGCCATCTCGGAAGCGCCGAGATGAAGGCAGCGCTGTTGTGAGATGCTCGGGAAACCATAGAAACGGTTGTAAGGCGCTGGCTGTGCGATGTGCTGGGGTGGAGAGGGCACTGTGCGATGAGCAGGCGGCTGTCTGCGGTGTGACGGTGCTGCTTTGGGGCTGCTGGTCCCGCCGTGCTCTGTGGATGTGCTGGGGATGGCCTTAAAGAAATCCAGTCCTGCTGAGAAGGGCAGATCTCTGCTGGCACTGTGGGTCTGCCCCGGGGGCTCTGGTTGCTGCCGCAGCTCCTGCTGCTCTCCCAGGACCTGCCTGATGCCAGGCAGCACAACGTGAAGCTCGTTAGTATTCAAAGGAAAGAGCAGCATTGGGATTTGCAGCACGCTTCTCCCTTCTCCTCAGCGTTGTTTTTGGTGTTGCCATGTTAACTCTAGCCAGAGCAGCATCTGCCACATATCAAATGCTGAAGTGCTATAAATCAGTGCTGGCGCAGGGGATGCAGTCTGTGTTTGGCCTTTCCTGCACTCGCTGTCTGCCCTGGCTCTAATTGACCTCTGGAGAGCACAGCATATGGCAGTAATGGTGATGAGCACCGGTGCTAACGATGGAGCCTGCTGCCTCTGAGCTTCCACAGCCTGGGACCTTCTGTTAAAGCCCAACTCCAGGCTCCTTGTGGTGATGGGGATGTGCTGTGCCCCCTGTACCCACACTGTGCTGCCCAGCAGGCTCCAACACACTTTGAAGAGGTGTTTGCTCTCAATCGGGGCTGCTTTTTTCCTCTTATTGCATGCTGGTGTTCCTAGAGCACCTAAAGAAGCTGTTGGCTGCAAGATTCACCCATGCCCAGCATTGCACGGAGGTTCTGTTAGCTCCCATACTGATTAATCATGCCCTAGTTCATGGATAATAGTGGCTTTTTTCCCCCCAGCTGTCCTGTGCTGCAAAGCTTTGCTGCAGGTGTGGCTTTGCTCTGTGCTGAAGTGATTTTTTTGCTGTATGTCTGTTACCTGCTGCCCTGGGGCATTGTGAACTTCCACCATTCAGAACGCTCTGAGATGCAGAGCTGGATGGCATCAAGAGGAGCAAAGTAATTTTACTGTAAAGAATCCTGGAGAGCAGATTCTCACGCTCCACCGTTTGGATCTCGTTAGTAAACAAACTGCGTTTTCCCATCAATTTACTGGTGGCAGTTGCTACTTTGAGACTACAGTCAGGTTCTGAAACAAAATCACATTGCAGCAGCATCCCTGAGTGCGTGTGGTATTGAAGAAGGGATTGGCTTTGGTGGCACAGGGGCATCATAGGCAGATCAACCCAGCACTGTGCAGGCCAGAGCTGAGGATGCCCATTGGTTTCTCTGAAATGTGTCGTGGTTTTAAGTCCTCTGAGCTCTGCTGGGAGCCTCTGTGTGTGAGTTGTGTGCGACGTGAGCCTGTCCAGCTTCTGCTTTTGCACTGCCTTGCACAGATGTCCTGTGCGCTGCTGCAGAATGCAGGTGGTGGTGGCACAGTTTGTTCCTTAGCGGTGCTTTCAGCTCAGGGCTGTCTGTGCTGGGGGAACTGAAGGCTCCTGGTGTCTCCAGGCTGCTTTGTAGTTTCTGTGCTCCTCACAGCAGCCTGCAGTGAGTTGATGCTGGTGGGGGTCCGGCTGCTGCTGTCTCTTCCAAGCAAAGAACCAGACCTGAGCTCTCTGCCCATCCTGAGGGCAGCATCAGCTCCAGAGGGGACCTGCACAGCTCCAGGTGTGGGCATTGTGCTCCAGCTGAGCAGCTTCTATGGGACGCAGGCAGTGCTGGGCACCTCTCTGCAGGGCACCTTGCTGCGACCTTGCCTCCTGTAGCATAAATACACACAGACACACTCTGCTATTTATAATCTGCCTCTGCCTGGGGAGAAGGTGAGAGAACCAACATGTGCCCGGCGTTGGTTGCTCTGCTCTCTGCTCAGGCTCCACCAGGAGAGGAACCCTATGGAGCACTGCTGTTCTCTGCTCTCATTTGGGAAAGCAACTCTTTGCATCTGCAGCACCAATCCCTTCCTTCCCCCCATCTCCACCAGCGCAGGAATCCCGAAGCATCCAGAAGGCTCCTCTGTCTGCAGCTGGAAGGGGGAGAGGCTTCTGCAGGGGGGATTTCTTTGGCTGTTGTACGTTGGGAAGCATGAGAGCAAGGAGACGAGGCAGGCTGGTGCTATTTCTGCCTGTCAGGAAGCTTGCAACAGGTACAACATTTGCTTTGAGGTTTCTGCTTTGGCAGAAACGAGGACACGAGGAGACGTCGTGACATCTCACTTTGCTGCCGTCTCCGTCTGAATTTCTGGCAGGGAGGAGAAAAATCTCCAAGCTGCTGTTCCCTCTCTGTCTCAGCACCCTTCCTCCACGCTGGAAGGAGCTGATAACAGCTTGTTTGTGTCTTCCCAGTGCTGAGATGAGGGCTGAGAGCGTGCAGAGCTGTGCTGCCGGGCTTCCCCTGCTGTCTGACAGCAGTAATGGGTGGCTTGGTGCAGAATGAGCTGTGTTCTCTTTCTCCCTTCACCTGGCAGGAGGAGCTCAGTGTGGGGCTGGGGGCTGCCCCCATCACTCCCACTGCAGCTCCATGCAGCACTGAGCCTGTTGCAGAGCCAGATGCCAGCCTTCCTGCTCCACTCTGACTGCAAGCCAGGGGAGGCCTGTGGCATTATGTTTAATTTCTTTGTAATGCCTGTGGCGTTATCCAGTGGTGTGGCATTCTCTGCACCCCAGAGCACTTTGTGGCAGTGCTTAATGCTCCTTGGTGCTGCTGCTGGGCAGGGCTCTGCTCTCAGCAGAACAGGGGCTGCTTTACTTTCCGCTTTATCTGTTGTGTGGGATGGCTGCCTCTGAAAATAGTCATCTTTTCTCTTTGCAGCGTGTGTCTGTGTGTGCCTTTCTGCCCAGTCTGACGTTTGTGAAATCTGCTCTGTTTTCCCATTGGTAACGATGGGGACAGGATGTGAAGAACACCCACCTGTGGAAGGCTCAGCCACGTACCAGACAGCTCACCGTGCATCTGCAGAGCCACGACCTCCCCAGCACCTGCACAGAGCAGTGTGTCACACAGCGTGGTTTCCTCATGCCTTCTTGCACCTCCCTGCTGGAAGTGAGGCAGCACCTTCGAGTGCATAAGCGTGCAAGAGGAGGGGAGGATCCCTGAAACAGAGCCCATTTCCTGGGACTGAGCACTCAGGCCCCATCCCCTGGAGGCAGGAAAATGCCCTGTGCTTCCCAGGTGTGCTGGGAGCGCCCTGAGCTGCCTGGATTTGGGTGCTGGGGCACAATGCAAGCCTTGCTCCTAGCCAAGCCAAGCTGCTGGCGTGGTTGGCTGCATCCCTGCATCCCCAGGCTGGATGTGGCTCTGGGCAGCTCGGTCTGGTGGCTGGTGACCCTGCACATAGCAGGGGGGGTTGAAACTAAATGATGATTGTGGTCCTTTGCAACCCAGGCCATTCTATGAGTCTGTGATCCATCCAGTGTTACCTGCTTGGTGTGAATGTTGTTGTAACAGAATCACTTTGTAAAGGCAGCATGCAGGTCGGGTGGCACTGATCCCTCAGATATCCCTATGAATGAGTGGTGCTGAGGCTGTCCTCAGAAAAGGAATTTCAGACACGTGCTGCCCTGTACCTCCTGGCTGTGCTGTGTGGCCAGGGCAGCCCAGGCACGCGTTCCTCACTGCAGATGCTTCCATTGCTGCAGTGGGAGCTGATCTGTACAGCAGCAGCTGAACCAACATTCGTTCTCCTGTGTTTCTGCAGCCGCCACGCGTGACTGAGGAGCAAAAACAATCTCATGGAGTGACTCATCCCTTTGGGGAAGGTGGGATAAGAGCAGCAGGAGACAGCAAACAGAGGAGCAGTGTCTGCAGGGGAGCCGTGCTGTGCCCCCACGTCTGTGCTGGCTGATGCTGGGCAGCTGAGATGGGCATTGCTGAGAAGTTTGGCTGATGCAGCGTGGGTTTGTTTTAGACAAACCTACAGATGAAGCAATAGCAGCTTTTGTGTCTGTTCTGGGCTGCGTCCTGGGTGATGAGATGGGAGAGCTGGGGGTCCCGCTGTGTGCTGGGCTGAATGAGCTGCTTCTGTGGCTTCAAACCACAGCATTTGCCAGGTTCCTTCACAGTAAGGTGTTCTGAAAGCCTGCTGGGTTGTGTTGCTTCCAGAACAGATTCTGGGGCATTCAGAATCTCTGTAAACTGGTGGTAAATGCAGGGCTGTTTGGCCTTTGTGTCTCAGTTTCCTTTTTCTTGCAGATCAACGAACTCAGCAACGTTCCTGTCCCTGTCATGTTGATGCCTGATGATTTTAAAGCCTACAGTAAGATCAAGGTGGACAATCATCTGTTCAACAAGTAAGTGTGTGCCTCACAGCTTACCTGTAACTGTGCTTCTGTGGGTTGTAGGCACCCAAAGCAGAAGGTGAATTCCTGGAGAGCTGTGCTGGGGGATCCTGCATGGTTAGCAGTGAGGTGTGGGAAGGACTTTGATTTCATCAGCTGATCATTGACAGGAATATTTCTCCTGCTTTGCTTTAGGGAAAACTTGCCCAGTCGCTTTAAATTTAAGGAGTATTGTCCTCTGGTGTTCCGAAACCTCCGGGAAAGGTTTGGGATTGATGACCAGGATTACCAGGTACCTTTTTTTTTTTTCTTTCCTTTCCCTGCTGTCCTGACTCGTTTCTCTGTGATAGAATAACCAACGTGGGGGAGAAACTGCAACACTGGCAGTTTTTGGTGGTTTTTAAGGGCTTATGATCACGGTGTGGATGGGTTTCCCATCGTTGTGAGGGCTCCCAGCAGTGGGATGGATCTCTCTGGGCCAAGCAGTGGGCAATTGCAGGGTGAAAAGGTAAGAGCTCAGTCTGGGCATGGGATAGGAGGCAGCAGACGGCTGCAGGCAGGCAGGAACTGGAGGGTAACGCTGATCTGGTCCTGCATAGCATGAGGAGCAGCCGCGCAGCACCTGCATCCTTTCCTCCACCCCTTCTCCCCAGACCAAGGGGGTGAAGGATTGCTTCTCCCACCTTGAGCAGAGCGGTGTGACTGTTGGAAGTGCCTAGCTAGAGCAGAAAGCAGGAAACATTCAGGTGGGTAAAACGTGACGGCTGGAGCGGGAGCCGAGCCAGGATGCTGAACATAACACCCAGCACTGGAGGAGGTGGGGATGGCAGGAAGGGAATTAAGTAAACCTGTGAGTTTGGTAACGTCCATATGTGGTCGCAATTTCTGCTTCCCATCTCCGCTCCAAGAAATGCTGTGTGGTTTTGAGGTGAGGGGTGATTAAACCGTGCAGCGCAGGCTCGTTTGCAAATGTCAGCGAGCAGAGAGGTTTCTTTTGTTTGCTTTTATTTTCCTGATGGTTTCTAAAGCCGTTGGCAGGAGCAGAGTTGTTCCCTTGCTTCATTAAAGTTTTAGAGGCTTTAAATGCTTCCTTCTGAAAGGAAAGCTCTCTGTTTGCTCGCAGCACTGTGTGGTAAATCTCTCTTTGCAGCAGGCTGTGCTCGCCTGCGTGTGTCTGCAGCAGAGCAGGCTCCCTCTGGTGTCCACTGCTCAGAGAACCCAAGGGTGGGAGGAACAGAGCCACAGCCAGCTATAAAACACACCTCAGGATGCACTGCCCAGCCCTGGCACCCTGAAAAGGGCATCCACCTCGAGCTGAAGGCCGCTGTTAGATGTTGGTGCTGTTGTGTTTCGGAGCTCAGCTCCCCCCGTCTGCTTGCAAGCAGGACGCGGTTAGAGCCTGTACTGATGGGTGACAGAATGGCTTCTGGATGGGTGCAGGTGATGGAGGTGCTGGAGTTGGGAGCTTGGGATTTTGCAGTGGTGCTGTGGTTGGGATGAGAAGCTGCAGTGTTTTGTTGCTAAGGGTGGAGATGGGGATATAAAGGCGGTTGCTGCCGAGCAGTTCGTGGTCACTTCTCATCTGATTGGGCTGAGGGTGGCTTTTGTTTTTGGGATGTCCTGTAAAGAATTCCTAAACACAGGAAGTGTTGCCAGTTTACGTGCATGACTGTTTTCACTCATTTTGTTCTGGTTTTATTTAACCCTTGGTCTTTGGGCTCTTGTGACAGAGCCGGGCTGTGGAGGTGCTCCTGAGCACCCACCTGCTTTCTGACACCGCTCTGCTTCCTTCTCAGTGAGCTGGCAGCTCCTGCCTCTCCTCCCCACGATTTCATTCTGTTTCCCTCAGAATTCAGTGACACGAAGTGCCCCAGTGAACAGCGACAGCCAGGGCCGATGTGGGGCCCGGTTCCTCACCACCTACGACAGGAGGTTTGTCATTAAGGCCGTGTCGAGTGAGGATGTGGCAGAGATGCACAACATCTTAAAGAAGTACCACCAGGTACGGTGAGTCTGCAGCCCTGCAGGGAGCTTTGGAGCACCCTGTGATGTGCTGGGGAGCTGTGGCAGAGCTTGCAGATAGAAAGCAGTGTTCTGTAGCACCTGAGAGCCTATGAGGGCTCCTTCACAGTGCTGAGTCCTTCACTGCTCACCCTTACAGCAATGAATTATGGATTGCTGTTATCTGAGACCTGTGAACGCGATGCTAATTCAGTGCTTTGGATTAGACTTTGTGAAGGGACCAGGGGAAGGACAGAGCTGCTTGCAGCAAGGAAGAGGAGGCAGGTGACACAGCTGCAAGTGTTCTGCTGTTGTCTGTGGTATCTTCCAGTCCATCTGCACTTTACTTCCATGTAACCAGAGAGGGGATGTTAGATGCTGCCAGCAGCAGGCTCAGGCTTCTGTGACCAGGTGGTGGGAGGGCACGCTTGGCCTATCACAGCAGGCTGGGCCTGCACACATCGAGATGCTCTCTCTCAGCTGAGGGCTGTAAACATCTTACAGTGCCCCAGCTTGCTGTTCTGCAGCTGCAGAGAGCCATTTGCAAGCCTCCTTTCCTTTCTCATCAGTGTCAGATGGCTGGAACTGGAAGCTTCCCTATCAGCTTCTTGCTGAGCTTGTGTTCCACCAGCGGTGGGTGTTGTGTGACAGTGCTGTCTTTCTCTGCCCTTCCCTTCCTGCTTCCCTGCAGTTCATAGTGGAGTGCCATGGGAACACCCTTCTGCCCCAGTTCCTTGGCATGTACCGGCTCACCGTGGATGGAGTGGAAACCTACATGGTGGTTACCAGAAATGTGTTCAGCCACAGGCTGACAGTGCACCGAAAATACGACCTGAAGGTGAGGCTGGGAGCAGAGTGCCCTGCAGGGTGAGGGCTGGTCTCTGTAACCCCTGTGTGAGAGGGTCCTGGGCTTTGCTCCTTTGTTCAGGGAGTCGGGTTTTGGGGGCTTTGTGTGGGACTTAAGGTTCAAATGTCATTCTGTTCCTCTATCCCAAGTGGTCTGCACTGCACCAGGGAGGTCTGTGACTGTCTGAGGCATGAATTACATGGTTTCCATCAGTTCCTTGGGAATGCAGCAATGTTCTCTTCCTTCTTTTTGCTAGGGCTCAACAGTGTCCAGGGAAGCAAGCGATAAGGAGAAGGTACGGACCACCCCTTCCTCCTGCCTTTGGGGAGCAGATGGGATCCAGCTGACCTCCCTCTTCAGAGGGGTTCAGAGCAGGGGAAACAAAGCAGGCCCTGCATGGTACACTGCTCCTATCCCACCCTCCAGGCTGCTCCCAGTAATGTACAGGAAGAGGTGATGCTCTGAGACATTGACACTGCCAGGAGAGGGGGGGGAAACCTCTTGGGACACAAATCCACACGTAGCAAAGCCCACATTTGTGCAATGCTCCCCCAGCGTGTCAAACTGAGTCAGGTCAGCAGTTTGCTTTTGCAACAGCTGCTTCTATAAACCAGACCAACTCCTCTCGGATTCTTGGCACGTCTCAGCATGTTTGTCAATTTGGGTTCTGTTGCCACGAGGGGAGCTTAAAACTGGGAGTTCTGCCCCTGCAAAACCTCAGCTCTGACGTTGTCGTGAAAAGTCCTGTTGATTTTGCACCTTTTTGCACGTGAGCTTTGCAGGTTTGAGGCTACAGAGTGAAGTTCCACAGCAGCTCACCCTGAAATTAATCCCTGGCACGAGCAAAGGAAGTTCCGTTTGCACCAAAAGCTCTGGCATTGAGGCACAGCTTCGTGGTGCCCAAACGTCCCTGGCTCGCTGCCTGTTTAGTCTCCAGCTTTTTCTGTGTATGCAGTTTGTCCCAGGCCATTCATATTAGATCTATATAAAGCCACCACGCTCATATATCATCCTAAGAGCAAAATAATTGAACTCCCAGTTGCACTGAAGGGTTGTGCATTCTCCCATATCCCTCAGGGGTCCACTGCAGACAAATTCCTTCAAACAGCAGTTTTTGGGGTTTGGGTTTTTTTTTTTTCCTCGAGTCTTTTGGGAAAGAAGAGTTTTGTTTTCAATTCTCCCGACCCCAGGCAGAAACCACCAGGATGCATTTCTATTCTGGGAGCTGGTTGGGCTGGAGCCCAGCTGCCAAGCATTCAGCCTGCAGCACTTTTTCCCAGCAGTCCTTAAAGTTGAGCTGTTCTCAGGGTATGAAGGGAAGCACAGAGGTACACAGAGTCATTGACAAACGTTGTGCTTTGCCTGCTGCCATTTCCTGATTAGTGGATGGGATGAGGCCTTATGAACAGGCAGGGGATTCCGGTGCTGCCCCACGCTGAGCAATGGGTGCATTGCTGAAGGACCAGCGTGCAGCCTGGCCTCGAGGGGTCCAGGTTTGGGAATCTGACAGAGGATTTTTTGTTCCAGGCCAAGGATTTGCCGACGTTCAAGGACAACGACTTCTTGAATGAGGGACAGAAGCTGCATGTTGGGGAAGAGAGCAAAAAGAACTTCCTCGAGAAGCTGAAGCGGGACGTGGAGGTAGAGAACCCTGGGGGGTGGCTTTTATTCTATCTGTGCCTTATACCTGAGTGCTCCCTGTGCACAGAGGTCAGCAGTGGCCAGAAGGCACACAGATGTGGTCAGGATTTTACCCTTGGCTGAGGGCACAGCTCCCACATAGGTTCTGTGGGGACTAATATGGGTTTAAATGCCGTGTTCCCTTAGGGGGATACCAGGAGAGCCGGGCAGGATTTGTGATCTCGCACGGCTTCCATGACTCCCATTCATCTCTTCCTCCCAGTTCTTAGCTCAGCTGAAGATCATGGACTACAGCCTGCTGGTTGGGATCCACGATGTTGACCGAGCAGAGCAGGAAGAGATGGAAGTGGAGGATCGGGCAGAGGATGAGGAGTGTGAGAATGATGGCCTCGGAGGGAACCCCATCTCCTCGTATGGAACCCCCCCAGACAGCCCTGGCAATCTCCTCAATTACCCTCGCTTCTTTGGGCCTGGAGAGTTTGATCCCTCTGTTGATGTCTACGCCATGAAAAGCCACGACAGTGAGTATTGTGGGATGCTGCCTTGAAGGTGTGGGGGGCAGAGGAGGCATCTTGTGGGCTGTGTGAGCTAAAGGGAGCGGAGGACTGTCCATAGAGAGAAAGAAACTCGCCCAAGTGTCTCTCCTGTGCTGTCCCTGTCTGCAGGTGGTGTGAGTTTGAATGTTGGAAGTGATGTTTTAGGAGCAGCACAGCGTTCAGAGTGCGTGTGTGGATCTCTGGTGTGCAGTTTATTCCTCTCTGCCCTTCCAGAGCTCCCCCTGCCTTGCTTTCTCTGCTGTTTGCGTTAAAGCAGATCTGCTGTTTCTCAAGGAAGGGATGTAACTGGGCTTTGCTGACAGCTCAGGGTGTGCTAGCAACTCTCTTGCCTTGCTAGGTGCCCCCAAGAAGGAAGTGTACTTCATGGCCATTATAGACATCCTTACACCATATGATGCAAAGAAGAAAGCTGCACACGCTGCCAAAACAGTGAAACATGGGGTAAGCAGCCTGATTCCTGCAGGGAGGATGGACTTTGGGGCTTCTGCTTTGCCTGCATGCCTGTCTGTGTGCGTTTTGTGCCAGTCTGGACATTGTCCAGTGATCCCACATCAAGAGCAGCCCTTCCCTCACTGACCCGAGTTCCCTGCGTGGCAGCAGCAGCCTGGTGGGGCAGGAATGCTCGGGGTGCAGGCAGGCGTGATGCCTTCCTCCTGCCAGACCTGTTCCCAAACTTCTCTGAACTTCCCAAAAGAGCTCCAAAAAAATCCCAATTCAATGGGACGTGGAGTTTCTGCTCTCTTTCCACATCTCTGACCCGTAAGAGAGCAGCTCCAAAGCTCTGACTCAGTAGCCTGCAGGAGAATGCAGCTGCAGCTAAAACCATTTTCCTCGGGGATCTTTCCAGCCCTCTGCAGCTGTTGGCTTTTCCTAGAACTTGCAGGTTCTGTTGTGGGTCTCTCCCAGCAGAGCCAGCGGTGCTCCCTGCTGTCCTCCCTCCTCCTCCTGCTGTGCACGGCTGTGAGCTCTGCATGCAGGGAGGCTGTTGCAATTCATCTCTTGTCTCTGTGCCTTGCAGGCTGGGGCAGAGATCTCCACCGTGAACCCGGAGCAATACTCCAAACGCTTCAATGAGTTCATGTCCAATATCCTGACATAGTCATCTTCAGCCTTCAGAGGAACGCGAGGAGGAGAAGAGGGGCTACTTCCCAGAGGAGAACGCAGCCTGTGACACTAAAACAGACTCTGTAGCAGCATGTGGGGTGTGTGAGTGAGTGAGTGAGTGAGTGAGTGAGTGGCACTGCGTGACTTCAGAGACAACGTATTTTCAGTGCACCCCTCCGACAGCCCACATCGGCCAGGTGGGGGGGGGGTGTGGGAGCCGGGGGGGGGGCTGGGCGCTTTGTTACAGAAGTGCCCAGACATCAATTCGAGGGCTTTTTAAAACAAGAAAAGTGCATTTGTTGCCAGCACTGCTCTTCCTGACGGTGTTTCCTCCTCTCTGACCAAGGGACTCCCAGGGATGTGACATGAGGCGCTGCGCCTGGGGGTCACTCGAGCTCAGCTTTACTTTGGAGTAAAGCAGTGCCTGATGCCACAAACTCCTTTTTTTAATTAATTAATTACCATCGAATTGTCTTTGCAAGAATGACCTCCAAGCCCTTTTACTTCCCTCGCTCTAAGAATTGGAAGGAAAATCGCTCGCCGTCTCGAGGATGGAAAATATGACACTGATAAGGAGGAGTCGCTGAACTTTAGGTGAATTCAGACTGGGACACTTTATATCTTTTGGTTAATTTAAGTAACAAAAATATGTTGGTGGTTGTTTTTTTGTTTTTTTTTTTTCTTTTGTATCTGCACTCGATTTACAAGAAAGATGAGGGAGATGAACATCTACCAAAGATGATCACTAAGAGAGGGCTTTGCTCCCGGAGCCTAAAAAAGCAATGTGAGAAGCACTAAGAGACGCTGAACGACATCGGATGGTGATGTGCTCAGACCCAGAGTGCTGCACCATCGGCCAGCTGTGAAGATGATGTGAAAGGACAAAAAAGCAAAGCTGTGTCCCTGTAGGTGTGGGACAACACCTGACTGCCTGGAACCTTTCCCCACGCACCGCAGTTGGGAGTTGCTGTGTCTCTTTGGTTCGTAGCTTCGTGTCTGCAGTTCAGTGTTAATCCAGCTAACGTTGTGTCTTCCTCATTCGCTCGGCCTGCAGCAGGCATGCTTGGATTTGCTTCCTGATGGAGGGTTGTGGGTTTGTTTTTTGCCATGGTGATGTGATTGTGCCCGGAGCTGTGGCTGTGTGCTCCTCTCTGAGCAGTATGGAAGGATGGGAATACATCCCCCACTCCCCCCCCGGTGCCCCCCGGAAGGGCGGGCCGGCGTTGAGGGTTGTTGTGGGCTCCATTCTCAGCACTGCACGACGCTGATGGACCTTTGGGTTCCTTCCTTGAACAAAACTCGCCGTCGCGACGCGTTGCTTATCTGCCTTGAACTGTTTTCACAAATGCCTTTGTTTTGGGATGAAGCTCTTTGGGCTGCCTGCCCCGTGCTGTAACGCCCTGCAGGGCTCACTCCTTTTGGGGGATCTCTGGTGCTCATTGCATCCCAGCTGTGTCCCCGTGGGCTCCTGGCTCTGCTGTGGGATGTGGGATCCGGGCAGTTCTTGTGATGCAGTCTGAGTGCCACCACTCTCAGCTTGGAAGGGGACACAAGGGCCTCGAGCTTCAGCCCATAGAGGCACGCTGTAAACAGGGCACTCACAGAGTCAGAAATGACCATCGGGGGTCACAGAGGGACGCAGACCTTTGTGGCCATTTGTGGGTCGTTCCCTACGAGGTGGGGCAGCCTCAGAACGAGTGCAGCTGAGAGAACGCTTTCAAAAGGGAGGATGGGGGGCACGGCCGTGCTGTGGGCGTTCCGTTGGTTGCTGTGCTCTTTGCAAGCAAGAAAATAAGCACTTAACGTTTACTATCCCTTAAGAATTTGACACCCATTGCTTTTTATTCTGGACGGTTTGAAGAATCTTGCATTGGAGCTGCAGCTTTGGCCCAGGGAGCTCTGCTGGGCCGCGAGCCGCCTCCTTTTCAACCGATCATCTTTAAATCGCTTATTTATAAAATAATAATAATAATAATAATAATATAAAAGGAGAGGAGAGGGTTGGGGGGGTGGGGAGGAAGAGGGAGGGGGGGGTCTGTGAGCTGCGGGCGCTGAGCTGTGCTGCTCCTCTCCAGCAAAACTCGTGCTGGGACTGAACTGGAGGGCTGTGGCTCAGCCCGCTTCCCCAGCTCTGCCCCTTGTCGAGTTGCCATGCTGTGTGTCCTGCAGTAAGGAAATGCCATTTTCTCCCTTAATGCTGTGTTACCCAGGTGTGTAACTTCGTTTAACGTGAGCGTTTTGTACATTGTTTACATTGGGGGAGGTAGCGTTGTGTTCAAGATGCTAATTTTCGTTTCCAGACAGTATTTTTCTTACCAGAACAAGAAGGTGAAGCTGCAAATATTTTGTTTTTAAAAGGGACTTTGGGTTTTTGTTTGTTCTTTTTGGTTTTTAAATCTTATTTTAGGTCACTGTTATTATTACTACTTTATTTTTTTTTTTTAACTCAAGTATTTAAGAAAGCCTAGCCCGTTCCATTCTGGTTTTACAGCTACTCGTGCTCGTTTGTTGTCTGTTGCTGGTGTGTTTAGTTGTAGTGTGCTGGATGTAGGTAGCTGTGTCTGTAGATGTGCCCCACAGAGTGCAGGGGGGGCTGGGGGTGGTCCTGCAGGGTGGGCTCTCAGAGCGTGGCTCTGATGATGTTGAAATGTGAGCACTGAAATCTGCTTTGGGTTGCCTGAAAGAGAGGCCCTGGGGCAAAAGGGAGAGGGAAGGCAGAGTGCAGCAGCAGGGCATGGCTGAGTGCTGTGCTGCCCGGTTGGTGCAATAGAAAATGCTCAAGAATAGGATGGGTCACCCAAAAGTGGGGGCTGGGAAGGGGGGGGGGGAAGCAGGGAGCACCCACCTGTGGGTCTGCCCCAGGGATCAGCCTGCTGCTGGCATTGCAGGAGCCGTCGGTGGGAGCTCAGTTCTTGCTGCAGGGAGCAGAATGCTCCTCCCTTCTGTCTCAGAGGACCCAGCGTTCCTTACAAAGGCCACGATTGTGAAGTTCCTCACGTGGAACTCGGCGTGGTTCTTCGCTTCTGCTTCCCTGCATTCCTGTGCTCCCCCTACGCTGGAGGATCCTGGCTTCCAGCTGCTGTGCCATGAGCAGCAGGAGCACTGAAGCACTCGAGTTGTACTTTGTGAGCTGGGAGAAGAGCCTGCATCCCCAGCTGTGAGCTCTGACGGTGGTTTAGTGGCTGCAGGCTGCGTTCAATAGGGATTGTCTTCATCTCAGAGCAGCTGCCTCTGTCCCGTGACTGCCATGCAGTCTTTAGAGGCCTCCCTTCGAGCTGCAGAGCTCCCACCCCGAGGTGGCACAAACCCTTCAGCAGTGTGCAAAGCCTCGGTTTGTGACACCGCGCAACCGATCTGAGATGGATCGCTGCTACAGCAGCATCTCCTCCCCAGCACCGTTTCAGGTTCGCTGTCACCTTGCCCTACTCCTGCAGAGCTGCTCTCCACATCACTGCTGATTCTCCTTGCTCTTTTCCTGCGGGACAGCAATGGCAAAGCACAGGGAACCAACTTCTGCTCGTCGTTGCTGAGGGCGGTTTTGGTTTTCAATGCTCGCACCCTGCGCTGCTCCTCGCTCAGCTGCACGAAGCAAAGGGCAGCAGATCGAGTTGTGGCAAGGGGGTGTGAAACACAGGTCTGAGAGGGGGGGAGCAGGGCGAATCAGTGCAACCGAAATCAAATGTGAATAAATTAAGTTTGAGACTCAACAAAACAAACAAAAAATAATAATAAGGCGTTCTAGGGTTTTTTTTTTTCCACTGCTGTTTTTTAAATAGGAATTTGAAGTCCTCTGTGCTTGTCTGTTTGCTAGGAGCAGTTTGAGACACTGTTACTGTTTTGAAATGCATGCATGTTACGAGATGAGTCTCCAAGCAGAGAAAAATAAAATCAAAACTTTGTGTACGTGTTGTTCTTCCTTGCTGGCCTCTTCAGCACGTTCTGCTGCCCAGCTGGTGTTGCAGGGGATGTTTGGTCATCTTCAGTGCTGGATTAACCACAGCTGGAGCAGAGCTCTGTGCTCCCAAGGCCTGGTTCTGCCATGTGCTGCACGTGAGAACCATTCAGAGCTGGCAGGAGGAGATGCTGCTGATGCTCACATACAGGTGGACCGAGGAAGATGAGCAGAGGTGGCTTAAAGATAAGCTCTGCTGGTGTGTGAAACCCGAGCTCCTTCTGCTAGCTTTACAGAGAAGAACTGAATCCCGCTGTTAGGGCTCAAGCAAAGGAAAGTTCACTACAATGGAGAGCTTTATTTTAAAAAATTTGCACATAATCTGAGCTGAGAGACACAGGAACAGCTGTGCTGGGTTAGTCCATGCGTGCCTTCAGAGTCCGGGTGGTGATCTTGTCTTTTTCACTAAAGAGGGAGACAGAGAAAACTATTAGCAAATCAGTGTTAAACACTGATGATCATTTTCCTCACAAGGTGCACTGTGCAATGCAGAATCATGAAAGGTGGCTGTCAGAGCTCAGCAACCCCCCTCCTCCTGCCGCTGTGTCCCAGGGGAGCTGAGCAGGCTCAGTCAGCAGCAATGCTTGGGAACAGTGCTGGGCAGCAGCAGCACGAGCAAAATAAGCTGCACCTGATGAGAGTCTGACTGCAGTCAGAAAGCTAACCCTGCATCCTGCTGTGGCAAAGAGCGTTCTCTTGCTCAGTGCTGCTTCCACTGAAGGGATCATGCTGCCAAACACTGATGGGAATGCTGTGAGAGAATCCACACACAGTGAGAGTTGAACTCTAGAGTTAACTGCTGCAGTTGTAGCAACAGCAAGCATACATGGGAAATAACTACTTAGTAATGCTTTCTGCTCTAAGAGTAGAAAGGGAACAAGACTGGAGACAGCTGGGAAGCCAATCCATCAACTGATTTTAGCCCCCCAGGCTGGGAAACTCTACCTGTGTTCAGAAGGGAAAGAAAGCAGCACTCACATTATGTGCACTACTACCCCCATGCCAGACAGGGCATCTCTGTCCACTGCATTCAACATGGCCTGCGAGATGGTTTCAAAGAGGTGATCGGGTTCCTGAAGAAGAGAAGCTGTTTTAGTTGGTCTAAGAACTGGACGTCGAGTCACCAGATTTTATCAACACCCCCAAAACACCATCGAGATGCCACAAGCATTTTCCTACAGGCTGCTGTGAGCCTTTATTCTCCCGACTCATCCAAGGACAGAGCTGCTCAGCCAACCTTCTCC